CGGGTGCCCCCCCCTGCCGCTGTACCAGCCTGCCCCGTGCAGCCCGCTCCCGGCTAAGGGAACAGCTCAGGAAGCGAATGCAATCGAAGCACGTTGACTTCCTCTAACTTTTCGTGTGCCAATAAGCATGAGGCATCTTTTGCTCCCTGATATCGTTATGAACTAAGGGGCTGAACTGCACCGGGTAGGAGATTTCCAAGACACAAAAGCAAGCCCACGGGGAGGGAGCGCTGCGTGCGAGGGGCTGCGCTTTGTCGGATGCTGTCGTGGAGGGCCGACGGGCCAGCCATCCAGAAGGAAGCGGGCAGGATGTGTTGGGGGGGGTCCTGGTGGTACCGCCAAGCCCTCAACTTACTGCTGAGAAAGGAAAAGCCTCGAGCACAGTCGTCAGAAGGGAGCGAGGCCAGCCGGTTCATTTTGTCCGCGCCCCCGGAGCAAGGAGCCCGGGCTCCGCTTGTTTCCAGCGACTAGAGCTTGACTCTGCGCGCCCATTTGGCTCGATGTCACGAGCCACAAGTCATTTCCCTCTTGGCTGGCCGAAGCGTGCACCTCCCAGTGTGGAGGGGGGAGATGTGCCAGAGAAACGATGCTCCTGCGAATGAGATTCACGTGATCCCCCTACTTCAGGGAGCAGAGGGGTCTATCAGATCCGAAGGGGATAAAAACCTGTCCTCCACAGGCTCAAGGCACAAGTTTCCCCATTGACAGGTCTATTCATTAAAGCTCTTTGCAGCGCACGCCATTGAGTGGGGAGCCGGGAACCGCGCTCGTGCTTCGGTGCATCGTTCCCTGACGCCCCGTGCTGCGCTCTTAGTCTTTGGTCCTTGAGCCCGTGTCGCTCAGTTATCACGGCTGCCCACGAGGCTTTTCACCAGGGCTCCTTGCCTGCATCCGTCTGATTCGCCCGCTTGACATATTCTCTAATGCTGCTCTCGGAGGATCAGACAAGCAGGATGGCTCTTGGGAAGGCATCATTTATCCCTTAAGCCTTGATCCTCTGGAAATCTGTCCGGTTCTTCAGGAGGATTGTGCAGGAAGGTGAAGGTTAATGGCGGGTCTCCGGCAGGCGCGGGCAAGCAGCATTGAAGCGCGAGTCAATTAAATGGAGTCCAAAAAACAAGTGGTGGGCTTGGGCTCTGTCGTTGGCCCGATGGCAAGGTCTGACGGCTTCAAAAGAGCTGAGGTTCGTCGTGAACCGGAGAAGGAGCCAGCACTGCGCAGACGACGCCATCAAAGAGCGGACAGGCAGTGGCTTGGGGGCAGGAGCAGGCTGGGGCTCGGGAGGGCTGGATTCAACTCCCATCCCTGGGCTGGAAAGATTTGTGCAGCGGGGCCGAGCGAACAATATGTTAAGCTAACCTCTTTTAGCCGCCCAGGAGAGCTCCCCAGGGTGGTAATAGCGGTGCCCCTCAGGCCAAGCAGTTAATTAAAGCGCTTCTCTTTGGAGGAGATATGATGATACAAGTCAGGTGTATATTTTGGGGCAAGTCTGCTTATTTGCTGGGAAGGTGCGCACAGTCTTGGTCCCCCGATCTCTGGAGAAATCAAGGGCCGCTCTGGCTCATAATATCCACGTCTGCCCCGATGTTCAGTTCCCTGCCCCAAGTTGCTCTGGCTTTGGTCCTGCTCATGACTGCGTCTCTCTCCTCTCTGGCTTCCTCGCACGCACTTTGCCGACCGTTGCCTAGCCCCTGTACGTGCAATTGGAGAAAACGTACGTTTACAAGATTTAGCTTCGCTTCAGGCCTGGCTACACAGCCCCTCTTGGTTGGGACCGGGGCTCCTGCTATTTCCACTAGTTGCTGCGGCAAGGGGCGTAATTGCTTCTCCTGCACGTTGTGAGACCGGGCGCGCGGCTCTCCCGCTGGTTGCGGGTAGCTGTCCCATTGCCTGGTGCTCAAAGCCCTGCTCGATGGGGCTGTGACTTAAAAATGCTCCTGGCATAGACACACTTTCTTACGGGACCTTGTGATTCCTTCCTCCGGAGGCCTGTTTCCTGCTAACAGCGTGGTTCTCGTGTCATCGCTCCTCTCTTTCTCTTCCCTGACAGATCAGGCGATCACAGAAAACTTTGATCATCCTGTTTCCCGGCTGTTACCTTTGGGCTTCCCCTGGACAGAGCGGCGCAGGAGGGGATTTAAAGAGCGCCAGGACTCTCAGCGCCGACCCGATGAGAGGGGGTGAGGACACGTTGGTGATGACACCGGGGGGAGCAGACCTGCCGTGAGCTCTGGCTGCAGCTAGTGGTTACTAGTAGGCACCATTTAATTGCATGCCGGCTCATTGAATCCCTGCACGGGGATGCAGCGAAGTTCTGCATTTGGTAGTGGCCCGGCTGCGATCTGTACAAGCAGTGGCCATGTCCTGCCCCTCTGTGCCAGGATGGGCTAGGTATCATTTTATTTAAGTCGACAGAGCGGCACTGTTTCACGCCACAATAACTGAGGGGAGACTCCAGACAAAGGACCTAAAAACCGAGTGACAGCGCCTAAATGCCTAACCTCAGCAGGGTGTGGAGCAGGGACTAATCCAGGCCAATGCACTGCCTCAGTTTCCCTCTCAGAGGGAAGGTGCCGGTTGGCCCGGTTAGGTCCCTCCTGGGTGCCAGCGAGTCCTTTCATTTCTCCCCCAGGTTGGCCAGGGTGGATGAGCCACCTTGCAAGGTAAAACCCAGGCTCAGGGCACCTTAAATAATGAGGCTGCCTGCTCTGCAATTTAAACTGCCCTGGATATCCTCCACCGGACCCCGTCCGTGGGCTCTGCTTGGCTCTTCGTGGAGACTCCCCTCCCAGCGCCGCACTGCAGGACCCTCTGCCCTTGCCCAACACAAGCCTGTAGGTGAAACAGGCCTCCTGTCTCTGCCCAGAGCTGGTTTCTTGGCCTTTGAGCCATGACCCGTGGTCTCATGCCCATTACCCACGCGTGCTGAGAGAGGGAGCATAGTCATGGCAAGACACTCGCTGCTACTGACTTCCTGTGTGGCCTTGGGCAAAGCACTTGACTCCAGGTTTCTACAGGTATTTAGGGGTTGCTTTGCTCAGGGCTGCAAGTCCCATTTTTGGAAGTGACTTGGGGACTTATGAGCCTAAATCCCATTGCTTTGCATTGAGGTTTTGGCACCCAACTGCCCAAGTCACTTTCCAAACGGAGACAGAGCTGTCCGACTCGCATAGGAGTTGCACGGCCTGTCATTGCTGGGAGGAGCGGCACTTCGGTCCTTTTACATGCACACTGTAGCCCTGGCTTTCCTGAGCCTCCGTTCCCCATCGGTGAAATACGGGCAATAGCCCTTCCTTGCCATTAGGGGTGTGGTAGGAGAGATTTGTGAAGAGCCCAGATGCCACACAGCGAAGAGGGACCTAGAAGAGCCTGGCGCTGGATTCCCGGTGACCCCACACATCGCGCACGCTCAGGAGGGATAAGTCGTAGCGCTAAAGAACCACGTGACACCTCATTTAGGCAGAGAAAACAGTGCCAACCTGCTTCCTTCCCCTCTCTGCCTTCATGGCATTGGATGAAGTAGGCTGTTGCCTGCCAAGCGTGGCTCTCTGAACCAGTTAGTGTCCGCGGCGTCACCCCGCCTTGCTTCTGCCTCTGTACCCGTGGACAGGTCTACACTTTGGACTCATTGTCCTGACCTTCTTCCCACAGGGTCATTGCCTCCATCTCTCTGTGTCTGTAAACCCCTGACGGGAGGGAATCTCCCCCTTGTAAAGCACTGGTGCCATATGAGTAATCTCAACTACTCACAAGTGTTTCCAAAGTGCTTGTACCCATGATAGCCAAACATCAGGGCCGGGAGCAGCAGCCACGGAAATAAGGGCGACGTAAAACTCTCCCTAGCAAAATGGTGCCTGGTCTTGGTGGCGGTGGAGGAGGTCACTCGGGCCCTATGGGCAATCAGCCAGCTCTGTCTCCTCTCGGCAGTGTTTCGTGGCTTTGGGTACCCAGGAAGCAGGTCTTCCCCGGGCCTGTCATTGCAGGCCCCTCCAGTAACTTGTCTTTCTTTGTATTCCCAGGTTTCCTTCTGCGCATGAGCCCGCAGTGGCGATTCTACCCATGCGAGAGCTCCCCAATGTGAGTACCCAGCAGCAGACTCTGCTGTCTGTGGTCTGGACTTTGACTCGCATCTAAGCGACCCGCCAGCTCCCTCCTCACCCCCTACACGCCAGGGAGTTAGAGCATCCATGTACATTTGCTATGACATACATCAGTGTTGATGAGAGACAGGAACACTGCCGGGTGATTCTGAGCTGCCAGAATAATCAGCTGTACGCACAACATGGCTTAAAGGATTTTTCAGGTAGCAGCATGCACCCACTAAAGAACTTAGACACGCAGTTTTTTGCTGGGGACTTCAGCCCCGTAGACTCCTGTCATGTAGGCAAAGCCACCTTGGCCGGTGCCTCAGAAACCCGGCTGTACCGCAGCGTGGAGAACCTGCACTGGGCAACCGTAGCCGACGCCGGCCTGTACTCTCCCTGCAGGAGCCTGGATAACGAGTTCATTTTCCACTACAAAGGCACCAGTCACTGGTCTGAAGGCTGTGCCGCGGGGGACCCAGTGCAGAGCACGGCGGACCCTGGCAGGCACCTTCCGCTCCATGCCGTGCGAACGCCGAGACCGGCGCGAAACGTACCTCTCCCACCTTTTGCCAAAGTGCCTCAGTGGCTTTTCCCTTCCGCGGAGGAGAGAGCCCTGCACGGGGATGCCAAACGAGAACTGAAGGAGAAGCTGAGGCTGCACAGCGCCAAGGCGGTGGAGCCCTGCAAGCCCGTGCGTCCCCAGGCATCCCTGACCGATCTGGTCAGCCGGGAGCTCTCCGAGTGCCGGACGAGCCGGGAGTACAAGAACGGATGCTCTGTGAACTGTTGCACGGTGTTCGTGGAGCACGCTGCCTTCGGTCCCAGCCCGGGGAAGCCGAGGCCGTGCTTGTCGCGCTGGATTACCAGTCCGGAGGACATCAAGCAGGAGGCTCGGAGGAGGCTGCAGCTCCGGAGGCAGAACAGCTCTCCCAATCTGACTCTCCTGCATGCCTGGGAAAGCCAAGAGATTGCCAAATCCAGAACAGCCGAGTCCCTGAGGGGATGCGATAGGGACGGTGACACCAAAGGGACATTAGAGCTGAGCAAGAAAGGGCATTGCAGAGGGAGGCTCTACATACCCACCTTTGAGGAGTTCAAGAGGATGAGGAGCAAAGAGATGTGTCCATCTGGCGGCAGCCACGGGCCCGCAAAGCACACGAGCGAGGGGCTGCCTTCCAGCCAGACCCTGGGAAGAGCGAGCAAGGTGGATGCCTGTCTAGACTCTCCACAGGAAGCCCTGGAAACCAAACCGGCCCAGGAAACCGCCGTCGTGGCCGATGACTACGACAGCGTGTTTCACGAAGGCCACGTCCCCTCTGGCTTTGCCCATTATCCAGACGTTACAACCGTGTGGGATGGCTTCAGCACATCTGAGGCCTGCCAGCATCTGCTGAAGGACGAGACCTTTGAGATGTCCCCTATCTGCTCGAGCCCGATTCCAAGGTCACCTTTGCAGTCAGCAGCACGCCGCAGGGAGGGGCAGGTCTTCGGTGACAAGCCGCAGGGACTAGACACGAAGCAATTAAGTGGAGTCCTTCACTTTGCTGAGCAGTCGCTGGCTTCTGAAGCCCCGTCTTCTTGTTGTCCATCACTGCTGTTAGAGGCCACAGACCTGTCAAGCTATGGAGCTAAGCTACAAAAAATGAAGGATGAATTCATAGGCTCGGCACTGGATCTGATTAAGAAAAGGTAACATACTCTGTTGGGCCACCTGAAACTAGTCCCGATGAGAAGGGTCTTGTCTTTGTCCCGACACATGCGTGTAACTCCCATTGCCATCTATATGGTCACAGAAACTTTCATCTTAGGGTCATGGAGTAACACAGCCTTAGATGGCTAGAAATGTTTCCAACATTATTTTCAGTCCAGCAGGAAGCAGGTGTCGCACGCTCGCACACATGCACGCACGCTCCCTTTCAGTGTTTACCACCCACACGTCATGCCCCCGTGCTAGGGCGTGAGAACACGGAATGGAAATTCACTTTAAATTGATCATTTACCAAAAATAGATGATTTGAGTCACCCCAGCTAACTGACACGCAGAAAGCCAATAGCACAAACAACCCGTGGGAGAATGGATTTGATTTTTCAAGTGATTGCTTCTTTGATTGGAGCAACTGCACAGCTTAATACTACAGGATAGCAATGATGGTGATAATGATGAATGGTGACTGTTACCGCATGTTGGAAAACCTTTGCTTCGGTCAGTGCTGAAGTGACCTTTTCACTGTCCTGTTCTGAGTAGAAATTCCCCAGGTTCCACGATTGCCTCCTGAAACTGTAAATCTGCTTGAGATGCCCACATTGCGCTCCAGAGATTCGTGGCTCTTTGGATGAGCCGGGCTGGGGTCTCAGGCTCGTGACAAAACACGGACTCTCCTGGGTTGAGGTGAGAGCTGTCTTCTCTCATCATCACACAACCTGAGGCAGAGCAACCAACTTGGCGCGTAGCCCTGTCTTCACTCGAGATGGTTGGGGCAGGGGTCTACATTGCTCCTGCAGCGCTCAGAGCAGCTCCAAGGGTGCTCCCCAAAGCCCCTGGATGTGGCGTGCTGGAGAGCAGCCTGGTGGTCTGGGCATCCTCCGATTTCCTCCCGGAGAGCGCTGCAGAAGCAGTGTAGATGCTCCCTGATCACTCTGGCGTTGACTTCAGCAGGCCCAGGGTCAGACCTTTGGTAGAGCGATGGTGAGCGGTCTTCAAGTTACCGCGCCCGGGTGATAGCAACGTGAAGTTTTGTGCCAGTGTTATGCAGTGTCATTCTACAGAGCAGTCTTGTCCTAAAGCACTAATAACCTCCCTGGAAACCAGAGTGATTTGCTTAAGAGACATCTAAATGGTTTAATACTTGTTGAACACTTATTTCATTTGCAACTTCGTATTTAGAGAACCTCTAACCCTCTTATGAATCACATTATACCTTTGGTTCAGCTAAGAGCCCCTGGTAGGAGCAGATCCATGGGTCTTACCATGGAAATTCTGCATAGGTTTTTAAATATAAGATTGTACTTTTTGAGCTGCCTAAGAGGTGTGGGATTCGAGTACGGGACAAGGACACACACAGCTAGCGACTGATCTCCTCATTTTAGCATCTGCAGGGAAATAGGAATATCTGTATAAGGAAATAACCAAACTGTGCGAGCAGACAAAGAGTTTGTGGGCAAGCGATGCCCAGGGAGATGGTTAAAGAGAGAGACGTGTCAGTGAAAAGGTTTCCTGGAGGATGCCGCTTTTGGAAAGCATGAGGATCGTAGATGAAAGATGCAGCTTGTGGGCACAATATATTGATAAGGCCACGGAGGAATAGAGAAGAAAGATGATGAACTGGCAACAGAAAAAAAAGAAAAGCTATTAAAAAAAGAGAGAGGAGCATGAGGGTGGGGGGAGGCAGCCAGAAGTGAGGAGGTCTTTAAGTCAGAGACGGCAGGGAGTGACAGGAATGGGGATGAAGAAGACTCCTGGACTGAAGGAGAGATGGAAAGGACTGAGACCTGCTGAGGACAAGGTGATGCAATGCTGGTGGCTTTATAGAGGAGCTGGAGGAAGCTGTTGCAGATGGCTGTACTTATGGCTGTACACTGCAGATCCAGACTAGGGCTCAGCACATCTGTTTCTAGAAAATCCAGGAAGAGGCTACGACTCCAGAGCTGTTGAAGAAACCGCACTTCTGCAAAGGATCCTCGTCCTCCCTACGTTGCTCTAGGCCTGGAACAGAGCGAGGGGAAATCTCTTCACAGAGATCAACCAAAAATCAGCCCACCAAAAATGAGATCCACCGGGGACTTCACTGTGGCTGTCGATTGTATGGTGGAAGATGCTCGGTACTGGGGTGAGGCACTGCAAGAAAGAAGAAGGACAAGAGGTGGACCATCTGCTGCAGCTTTGACCATGGGCTCTTATGCATCACTTCCCAGCTGAATTATCGTGGGTTTTGTCCAGATGCTGAGAGCAGGCAAAGACAAAGCAGATGTTAGAGGCCAGAATAAGGACAGCTGGGTCCTCTGCACAGCATTATGATGGGAAGGGGGCAGTGGTAGAGAAAGAAGAGTGCAACAAAAGGGGGAAAAGTGGCCTATACTGGACCACCACAAACACCACCTTGCCTACCATCCTGCAGCTGGCCAGAGATGCATGGGATCTTTAGGGACCACAGTGAACCCCCTCCAGGAAAAGTGCCAAGGGTGTAGAGAGGGCTTCTGGCTGGAGGAAGGGTGGTCGTGTGGGGTCAGGAGCAAAAGGGAAGGCCCAATAGAGGAAGCTGAGAGGGAAGATGAATAGAAGATGCAAAATAAATAGGACCCTGAGCCCTGGAGAAGGCAAAATAGATGAGACTTAGTGATTTAACTAAGTGATACAGAAGGGGAACAGGAGGAGCTCAGCCACAGGGACTGATGCAGCTGTGGTAGCAGTGATCTCGGGGTGCTGGCAGGAGAGGTGACAACTAACATCCCACAGGACCAAACAATAGAGGAAATCAGAGAAGCTGAACGTGTCCATGCACTTCAGCGGAGGGAAGAGTCGCACTGCTGGAGATGATGTGGCAGGCACTGGGGCAGTGGGGAGCAGACAGAAGTGAGAGGCTGAGCGATGCGAGGAAGTCAGATTTTCAATTCTCCGAGGAAAGACTTGGTGAAAGAGGACAAAGGCCTCAGTGGCAAGTGGTAGGAGGAGGAGAAGAATAGCCTCGACAGCACTGGCTGGAGATGGGCAAACAATCAGTTGGCAGAAAGTTTTCCCCTTCTTATTGCAATGTGCACGTGCATCACTTGCATTTCCCGTGTTTGCAGTGAGAATCACTCATCCACCACTGAAATGCCGCTGTATCTGGTGTGACACCCAGCAGCTCTGTAGACAGCCCACCACACTGCTGCACGGTGCACTGGCATAGGAAGGAGAGAGCACCTTTTGCCATTGAGACTCCCGGGGGATCTCTTAGGGAGGCAGGAGAGAGAGAGAGAGAGAAGAATCAGTTGATGATAGCCCAAAAGATGATATCCAGAAGTACCAGAGCAGCTTCTCTGTGGAGCTCACAAAGAGGTGGGGGGCTAGGCAGGGGATCACTTTAAGGGCAACGAGAAAATCACAGCGTTAAAATATAAGTGGGCAAGAAAGGCAGTGGCCTTGGATGCCATTGAACTGCCCCCAGTGCCCAAGAAGCAAACAAGTGCATGGAGCAGCACTGGTTTGCAGTTGTGTTCCCTTATATTTGGGCAACTTTCTGCAAGGCAGGGGCTCTCCAGCTTCAGCTGGAGACAGCCTCCCCAAAAGCCAAACATTCAGCCAAGGCACATCCTGGCCCTTTACCCCTGCTCAGAGGACCAGGGATGGTGTAAAAGCACCTACTTTGGCTCTGCCCTGGTAGCGAATCATCCCAACACTAGCTGTCCCTTGCACTCATTACACCATCCGGGTGCAGGGCAAAATGCAGTCCCGCTGCACGGTTACTGTATGTGGCGGTCTAGTCTGACCCACAAGCCTAGTCTGATAATAAGCCAGGACTGAAGAAAGCTCTGTTCATGTAGGGCGGATGCCTGTGCAGGGGTCTACCCAGCACACCCCTCCCCATCCTTGTCAAAGAGGCGCTGAGGACGTGCTGTGCATTTCAGCGGAGGCTCCCAGGGCGCTCCGCCAGCGCGATGAACTGGGGCCCAGCCCCACCTCTGGAGTGAAATTGCGCTGGGGTGGGAGTCAGGGACTGGGGTGCCTGGTCTGCCACTGACCTGCCAAGTGCCCTGGGCAAGTCACCTCATCTCTTCCAGCGTTTGGTTATTTAGATTGGCACGGCTTTTGTATTGGGCCAACTGTGTAGCTGGGAGAGCTGTTGAAGAAGCCTTTGGGTATCAAGTCCCCTTCTTTAGGTTGTAGCTGTGTTGGTCTGAGGACGTAGGCACACACAGTTCTTTGGGCAAATCCGATATCTTTTATTAGACCAACTCAAATAGGTGGAAACATTCTTCTTTGCAAGCTTTTGGGTACAAACACCCTTCTTCAGGCTGAGGAAGCGTCTGCAGTTGCTCTGTGCTCTTCTTGACACGTGGGTCTAACACTCCCGTGCTATGCAGACTGGCAGCCGTTTGCAGCAGGGACGTCTCTCACTAAGTGTTCAGTCAGCCTCTGACCAAGTAGGTTGTTGCCTATAGAAGCTCTTTGCTCTCTAAACCAGTTAGTCTCTAAGGTGCCACCCTGCCTCGTTTCAGACCGACGTGGCCAAGCAACCTCTCTACAAAGTGTTTGTATAGCTGATAGTGCAGCGGATGACATTTTGGTGGAAGCCGAGGGGTGCTTCTGTACCACAAGTGGAAGCAATAACATTATTTCCGTTCTGCCACGCACATCCAAATCTGCACAGCAAGCCACTGGAAGAGCTAAAACCAGAACCCAGGAGTCCTGGTTCACAGCTTCCTATTAGGATTGTACCGCTCTGTCAACACACTCCCAACTGTGACCATCCTTTCTCTAATTCTGCAAATCCTGTTAGTCCCGGTGGGTTCTGGAAGTACGGAGTGTGTGAAGATAAGAAAATTACAATTTAGGAAGTTAAAACCAGCATTTCAGTCCTTATAACAGTGGTGGAGGAGAACTGGGGCTGTTCTAAGTTTTTTTCTGAACCAGATCCAGTATCGGTTTAGCATCTGAGTCTTTTACTTTCTCTGAACCAGCTCACCTGTCCTCAGTTAAAAGTGCCTATGGGTGTGTCTGCATGTGCATTTACTGCACAGTAACTTACTGCAGTTCTTACACCAGCGTCTACGTGTGCAGGCGTTACAGTGCGGTAACGCTGTGTGTGGACTGACTTGGGGCTCAAGTTAGTCCCGAGTCAGTCCACACACACACACACACACACACGGTTACCGCATTGTAAGGCATCTACACGTGCCTTACTGCACAGTAACAACTCAGGCGTAAATTTAAGTTGGTGTAAATAAGTTGGTGTAAGTCACCATAGTTACTGCACACTATGGGCGTGCACGTGTAGATATGCACCTGTACCGCATGGTAATTTTCAGTTACCTAAGTTACTGCGCAGTAACTGTGCATGTGTAGATGCGCCCTAGATGTTGTAATTGTGATGGAGCTGCACATCCATAGCTGTCAGGCATATCAGCGTTAGCCTAGGAGTAAAGAGCTATGTAAGGAAGGAACCTATCGGTAGATAGTCGGTATTGCACAAAGGCTGCAGTCCCCAGTCCTTGTAGTCATTGTCCCAGGTCCTATCCACTCCTGTCTGTCCACCTTAAAGGAATTTGAACCAAGAAAAAATGAACTCTGCATCCTGACAGCGTCTCATGTTATAAACCGAAGAGAGAAGTCATCCTCATAAGAACGCCTCTCTTATTCTCCATCCTTTAGTCTGACTAATCTCTCTAGTCCTCCAAATGCTGCTTGCGCCTTGTCTCAGAATAACTTCTTACATTAAAAAGACACTGTCAATTTAAACGGAGTGCATTTTTGAAAAATGAACGCAAAGCAGTGTCAGATGCAGCGCTCCCGTCTGCCAGGCTGCAGGCTTTTACATTCCCCTTCCCCCATTCAAAGGCTATTTCTTTCTACCTTGTTACTGCGCAACTCCCACGGGCAGGAGGCTGCAGGGCTAGAAGGGCAATCTCCTCGTCCCACGGGTCTCAGACAGGACACGGACCATTTTAAAAGCATTGGGAGAGGCACAAAACATGCACAGCAACTACGGGGACTCTTTAAACGTAATCAGCCACATGTGAGGCATGATCCAAAGTTTGCTGAAATCCTTGGGACTCTTCCCAATGATTTTAGCGGCCCTGGGCAGAACCCCCATATTAAACAAGCTGAAAATAGAGAACAATATTTTTCCACTTGCTGGTTTAGATGATGGTGATGTTTAGGGGTTACTAGTCCTGGCAGAAGATGACATTTTTTTCCCAGACACGCAGTTGGTTTCCTGTGTTGACGGTGTCTCTTTGAAAGGCTGCATCTCACCTACTTAGCAAGAGTTTTTCTTGGTCCCCACATGAACAAAACTCTACTGTGAGCATCTGAGACACGAGTAGTTACTCTGGCTTGACACTGGCTTAACTGAAGCTGCCAGAATTTACCACCATACCCGAGTTGGGTTTTAGAGTCCTTAAAATACACGTGATGATCTTATGAAAGCAAAAGGCTGGTGTGGGCGTGTAGTCAGGATGGGCTCTCTGTGTGTGACTGGGTGTTTAGACCTGGGGGTCTCTGCTCAGAGCCGTCTCTGTTGAGCATCCCAGGTTAGAGCAGGGCCGTGACTCCGCGTGCCACGCGCACCAGATGATGTTAATTGGCTTCTGCTTCCTTCTCCTGCAGCTGCAGCACCGAGTCTGCCGTTGAGTCCCCATCCAAGGGACCACGTGACCGGGGGAAAGCCGATCTCTCATCTCCAGAGGACAGCAATCAGTCTACCGAGATTCCCATGGCAACGCAGACATGGAACAAGCCAAATAATGAGACACCTGGTGATGCTCAACCTGCAGCAAGTGTAAGGAAAAAACCTCTGGCTCCCCCTGGCCAGGTGGCTTTGGCCGGGTGCTTGCGACTGTTAGACCTGTAATCTGGTAGGAGTCAGAAAGACGTGGACTAAGTGGATTTTTGAGGCTGGGAATTAATGTCCAAAGCAAATTCACGCCTCTCAGACAGCGTCAAAAGCAGATTTTTCTGCTGCACTGTTTTGGGTTTGACTTCTGGCTCCTGGAAGACTTGAGAGCAATCTTCTAGTACCGTACTATGAGCCCCCTTGCATGCCAAAGGGCCGGGACTGCCCATACTGCTTCTCGGCCGAGCTCAGCAGCACTGCTACCCAATCCCTCCTGCCTTGCCCACACCAAACCCCAGCACCGAGGCAGTGTCGCTGCCTTAAAGCAGCTCAGGATGCTTGCCAAATAGCACATCTGAGAGAGCAAGCTGCACTGCTGAGATGCACCACGTGGACATCTTGGCAGCCTGGTACACAGGCCGTGCGGCCCTGCCACAGCATGTCCAGAAGCAACCTCCCAAATGCCCCACATTTGGGCAAGTCCCTGGTCCAAGGAGCACTCCAGACAAGGAGGCAAAATGGCCTGGTATCACCCAGCAGAGGAGGGTTTGCGAGCCAGGTGTCTGCCCTCCAGGCTGTTATCCTCTTGCCCAGCCTCCAGCGCTTTGCTGTGAGCTTCTGCAGCAGTAGGACCAGGCTTTGCTGTGACTTCAGGCAGCAGCTGGCAGGGTGCCCCTCGCTCAGCTTTTAACTCCCCCACCCTGTTCCTTCCCAGCTTTGAAGCCCCTTGTCTGTGTTGCAGAGCTCGAGCCCTAGCGGCCGCAGATCGAGCTCGGACATGGCCCACGAGGCGGCCGAGTGTGCCAAGGCCCAGCGGGAGTGCCGCCTGCGGCCTCACTTCAGTGACCCCATGCCCGCCGATGCCGTGAAGAGGAAACAGCTGGAGCTGAAGATCGCCGCTGCTGCTCGGCAGCACGCGCACAAGCGACGGCAGGAGAGAGACACAGGTACCCGCACACCTGGCCTGGCGCTGCCTGCTCTTGCTTGCCCTTGGGTGAACTGGAAGGGGGCCCTGCTCCCTCTGCAGAGGAGCCAAGCGGGAGGATGAGCCAGAGGTTGGTCCCCGCTGGACTGGCATCAGGCTGGACTGATGCCATTACTGCAGAGAGGTTACTTTGGGGTGACTCAGCCACACACACGGCAGGAATCAGGCCCGGTGCCATCCGATGTGCTGTCTCCGTCCCCCCCCATGCTCGGTCCAGATGCTTGTGCATAGCAGGAGGGGGATGCAGTGATATACTCCTGCGCTCTTAGCCTGCCACAGCTGCCAAAAGGGCTGTGAGGCAGCTGGGCACAAGTTAGGACCCCACAGGCTGCCAGCAGCTGCCAGCTAGGGAAGATGCAGAGGTGGCAGGAAGTCAGTCCCAGTGCTGCGTCCCACTCTGGGGAGGACTTGCCCCGGAGGATGAGTGGATGAGCTGAGAGTTGATCCCAGCTCTCATTTTTGTGATTCACGAAACAAGGGGAGGGGTTTCTGCGCTAGGACCATGCCCCAGGACACCCCGTTGTCTCTGCCTCCCTCCCTGTCCCGTGGCCTGCTCAGCACTTGGTTACGGCTCATGGCCGCATGGGGTATTTTTCAAAGTACGTGCAGAGGGTGGTGTGAATCAGGGGATATGTAACACAAGTGGAGCTCTCTGCATGAACATGCCCCGAGGAGCTGACCCTTCTGCAATGCAGCACAGCAAGTCTGACATCAGAGGGCGATTTATGGCCGAGGCCACCTGAGTGACAGCCCAGAGGATCCCGGTCTCTGCGGCTTGGGTGCTCCCAGGTCGGTCCACAGTGTGCTAGCAAGGAGGATGGGGGCATGGCTCCTCTCTAAAGGGGAGATGGGGGTGGAAAGGCTGGGAGGAGCCAGAGTCTACCATGCAAACTCTTCTCGAAGGCGGTCACGAGTTCTGTTTATTCCCAGGTCCCGTGGTGGCCAAAGCCAACGTGGGCCACGGCTGCAGCTTCGACGAGAGCAGCTACATGCTGAGCGGCTCCCTGCGATCCAAGCACCGCTGGAGCAACGTCAGTAGCCTGAGCGCCGACAGCGGCATCGCCAGTAGGAGCGACGACAAGGACGACGACCCCGCCAGGACCAGGTCGGCGGAGGTGGAGCGGGCGGACAGCGGCATCGACCAGGCTTCGGCCAGGAAATGGAAGAGCAGAGCCTCCGAGACACTGAGCTCCCTGCAGGCCTGGGAGGCGCACAGGCCCTGCACCGACTGCGGGGAGAGGGATTTCCCGGCGGAGACAGATGCCCAGAACCGCAACAAGAGACGGGCCAACCTGTGCGAGAAGTGCCTGAAGCGCAGGACCGAGCGGAAGGAGTCGATCCTGGAGTTTGTCAACACGGAGGCCAGCTACGGCGAGGACCTGCGGATCATCAAGGAGGAGTTTTACCTGCCCATGCAGGCGGCTGGGCTGCTGACCCAGGAGCAGCTGCTGGGCGTGTTCAGCAACATCCAGGAGCTGATCGACCTCAACGAGAACTTCCTGGAGATACTGCAGGAGGAGATCGACCAGGCCTTTGATCAGGTACGGGCCCTGCGTTTGGCTTCACGCCCCCTCCGAGCAATAGGGGCTAGCCAGCCTAGCCACAAGTCACGTCACTAATGGAGAGTGCTCAAGCGGGTCCCACCCCTGGGATGCGGACGCTCCCAATAGTCACTTTATAGCTCTGGGCCGCTGCTGTTGATCATTATACCTTTCCTTGGTTGTGACAGAGCAGCGCTGGTTTACATCTGCTGAGGATCTGGCCTCGTGTGCCTCAGTTGACCCATCTGTGAAGTGGGTGTAAGGAGACATATGCATTGTGAGTCATGGGGCGGGTGGCGAGGCTCCCTTACCAGGAGTGAATGCAAACCTAGATTTTTAGCTGGTTAGGTTGGGTCAACTCCACTTCAGTCAGTGGAGCCGTGCAGATTTGGCCTCACTGAGGATTGGGTGTGTTGCCTTTCGGCTCAGGGAGAAGTGGGCTCCTCGTCTTCCCAGGGGTCACGCAAATGAAGACAGAAGACACTGAGCGCTAACACCGCGCGCACCGGCGGGATCGGGTCTGGCGGGCAGAGTTCGGCACAGCAGGGCAGCTCCCCGCCCCCTTGTATTATGCAGATCCCTGCACTTTGATTGGCTCTTTGGCTCTCATTGGGCTCAATACCAGAAGGTTATTTTTAATAACTACGCAGCATGCACATCCCTGCGCTGGCATGGCTGTCAGCCCTTATTAGTCAATCAGTGTCAAGGGATTTGCATAATCCCTTTATGGTTATCTACCCACAACTGTGCTGTGCCTCTGCAAATCCTTCTAGTCCAATTTGCTCCTGTAGCTCCTTCCTCTCTGACTGGCTTTGACTTTCCTGGCACCGAAAAACCTTGTCATAGTTTTTCACTTACCCCCAGAGGAAGCAGGAAGACGTGCCAGGGAGAAGAGGCAGCTTTGGCAATGCGTCCATCCAGATGTGGGTCCCATCCTACCACTGTTAGCCAATATTCAACGTCTTGCGCGTTGTTTCTGGGAAGAGAAGGATTTGATGATGGGGTGGGGTAGCTTCTCAGTGCCAAGGACACACAGGGCCCAGTTGCTGTATGCACAATAGGATGCAAATAGCAGGACACGGTTTCTTGCGCCCGGTTCCTCACCTGTTTCCAGTGGCTCTATCCAGAAGCTTTCTTCTCCTCCTCTACCTCCTTCCCAATCTCATGCTCCAAGGGCTTCTCTGCCTGTATCTGGGGCTTCCTCACTGCCTTCCCCTGGCAGCACCTATTGCTTCTCTCTGGGACCCACAGCTGCATCAAACACTCAGCTCCCTCACCCCTGTTTTGCTCCGAGTCTGTACTTTGCAAGCAGACTCCAGCCAAAACTCCCCGTTAGACTCATGATCAGCCCTGCAGGTGACCTGTGCTTTGAGCAGTGGGGAATCTGTTCCATAAAGAAACTGAATGGTATTCGGCATTGATCCCGCATGAAGGGCCGCTGTGATATTCAGCGACCGCAGGGAAATCTCACTCAGGCCTCAACCTCTTACCAGGTTGGACGTAGGAATCAACCTCATGCTCGCAACAGTCATGTTGGGGAAGTGAAAATAACATGAGAAAATGGGAAATGAAGATGTAGACAGGTTCCCCCATCGCTAGTGGAGCCAAGACTGGAGGAGGATCCCCCGGGGGAATGAGCTGGCATAACCTAAACCTCGCTGCCTGGATCACAGGCCCATGCACTGCATGGCCCAGTGTGGAGAAGGCTGCATGGAGGCCAGCAGGGGCACAGGACCCTGGTTTAGGGAGGCTGGCAAGGGCTGCACTTGTGCAGGGCACTTGAAATGGAAGCTGCAGAAACCCCTGGCAAGTGCCACTGCACAGCAAGGTGAAGGCAGTAGGGTTCGGCAGTGAGCCCCATGCCCCCCAAAGGGGCATCACCATGCAGAGGGAATAGGCAGGGGTTAGTCCAGGGGTCTGTGGTCAGCGTGAAGACAAGGAGCATGTGGATGCATAGGTCTCTTCCCAAAAGTGCCTGCAGCTTGGGGTGCAGGGGAGCCAGCTCCTCAGTCACTCCTTACCACAACGCGGATAGGCCATGGGGCTCATTCAGCAAATGATGCCTGTGACTGTGAAAGCAAGGGACCAGCTGGTCCCCTTTAATGTACAGGGCTGTGTGGTCGCCACCTCGGGCACAGCCCGGGGCAGTCACTACTGCATGGCAGCAGAGGAGCTCCTCATGCCCACGGCAGTGATTCTGGCACCAAGCAAAAAATGAATCCAGGCCACCAGGCAGCAGGGAGGGGGCAGACGACCAGCGCAGACTCCTTTCTGCTAAGGAAACACAAGCCACCTATTGCCTATTGTAGCTAAGGGTTCCTGCAGCCCACACTTATTAGACCACGCCACATCTACACCTTCACCAAGCCTGACAGCTTCCAGCTGCAGCAGTGCATTGAGGATCCCTGGGCCGATGGCCAAGAGCAGGGGAACAGCTACAAACCGCTGCCTGTTTTGTCACCCACATGCCCCATTGCCCTCTCTCCCCTTCTCTACGGCACCCTGTGCTAAAAGGGGATGCAGAGCTACTGCTGAAGCCATCACTGCAGGCCAAACACCTGAGCCAGGCATTACCACGGCACTGTATTCTCATTGCTGTCCTCATTTGATTGCTCATGCACAGGGTTAAAATACCAGGAAGCTCATTTTTATGCAACCGTCAAAGGTGCCCACGTAGCCCAGGGAACAGCTGGTCCCAGTAGCTCCAAACAGCACAAAACCAGTTAAGCTCCTGAGCGGATGGAGGAGTTGCACTCAGTCACTGCCCATTTTTCGTGAACGCTTGCAATGCCATGTGGGCTCTGCCGTGCCAGTTCATTATGCTCGGGGACCAGACCAACACCAGCTCCTTGTTTTACATGGGTCACCTCACGGCTCTCAGACACTGCTGACACTGCATTTAAGCTGCTCACCTAGAGGAGGACGGACTGCCCATTGCCACCCGCTCAAGCCACTGGATCCCCTTGTGTCAGGGAGGCAAGTGGGCTCAGAGGGAGTCCTGCATGCATCCTGTATGGGCAAGGGAGGGAGAGCCTGGCAGAGGCTGACAAGGAACAGAGCCGAGGCAGGATCTAATGCAGAGACAAGAGAAATGGGCAGGACTATTTGGTGAGGAAATGATCACATCTGGGCCTCCTGCTGTCGGTAGTACTTGTTCTACAAGCTCCGTCTAGGAAGGTCGAGCTCTCCATGATGACAGTGCCTGTCCTGTTTCTCTCTGCACGTGCAAAATATTGCTGGGGCACTTCCTTGGGTCTGAGTTTCCTCCGTAGGAAGGGTCCTTTGCAGTCCAGGGAGAAGGGCCCAGGTTTTCAAGCATTCGGCAGCTCATGAGCTAGGCTCAACGCACACAGATGAGCTCCATTGAAAACCTGGCCCCTGAAACGTTATGCATGACACCGAGAAGGCAATGGGACCGCCAGGGTCATAAGCACAGTACCTGGCAGCAAGTGCACGTCGTGCCAAGCCCCTAGCTTAGCCGGACCTACTTGTGTGCCCTTCTCTCATCAACTGACCGCAGCGGCTGCCATGTGTGCTTGCAGGGCGACGACGATCTGATGACCGTGTGCATTGGCGAGATATTCCTGGAGTTTGTCAACATGCTGCCTGCCTTTCAGACCTACTGTCTCCAGCAGTCGTCCTCCGTGAACATGCTCAACGCCCTGGAGAAGGAGAAAGAGCTGCTCAGGTGAGCGAGGCTGGGCCTATACATCTAGGCTTTGTGAACGGGGTATGCTGGAAGGCACCTGCCTCGGACGCTAGCATGTGCTTTCCCTCTGTGGAGCTGGGAGAGAGGCGAATCTGACTCCCTTTGCTTGGGAACTAGCAATAAAACGTACTGCGTAAGAGCACGGTATTAGTATTAATCTCTGATGCAAACGGGTGTAGCTGCATGCAAGTCCCCGGAGCTCGGTCAGTCCAGGATCAGGCTCTACCCACATTATAACGATGGCTCCCTTGTAGAGTGCTGTGATTGCATTTCATGGTGGCTAGATACACACCATACAACATTAAGCCTGTTTTGAAGGGGAGAGGGTTGTTAACACCTGTGGAATAGAGGTTTAGAAAGGATCAGGGAGATGACAGCGAGCCAGGAAGTGAAGTGACTCCCTCAGCCCTTCCTGACAAGAAATGCTGCTGCCACAGCCAGGCAGGTGTTTTCAAGCTGTAGGTGGAGCAGGAATCAAAGCACGGGGTGCAAGTGCACCCCCCTCGGATCCTCCCCTGGCCACGCTTGTTATTTTGCATGCTGTTTTTCACCATGTGCTACCAGCAGCGTCGCTCCATTATTATTCCCTTTTCACCTCCCTGCAGAATATTCCTCAACGTTTCCCAGAACGACAACACAGCACTGCGGCGCATGAACCTGAGGTCCTTTCTGATGGCTCCTTTGCAAAGAGTCACCAAATACCCGCTTCTGCTCAGCCGCATCATCAAAGCCACCATTGAGTATCACCCGGATCACGGCAGCCTGCGGGAAGCCAAGTGCCGCATTGAGTCGCACCTGGAGCACATCAACATGAAAACCAAGCAAGAAGGGAACTCGTGGACCCTGCGCTCCTTCCGCCAGGATAGCAAGAAGAGGAGGGAGGTCATCAACATTGAGATGAGGGAAACCGCCATCAAAACCATGACCTGGCTGCGGGAAGAGACGCGCTTCGTGATGGAGGGGTCTCTGCAGCTGGCCCAGCCGCCGGACGGCCAGTGGGTCAAAAAGGGCAGCAAGACCTTGAAGTTTCAGAACATGCAGGTGCTTCTCATGGTCAACATGAAGCGAGCGTCCGAGTCCAGCCTGGAGTCTGCCGAGCTGGGACCGGTGAAAGATGCGGTGCTGGTGCTCATCAGGGACAAGAATAACGGGAAGTTCAGTTTGCTCAGGGAGCCCTTGCGGCTGAGTAACTGCGTCGTCTCCGCAGATCCCGACTGCGACGACACGTTTGAACTCATTGAGATCAGGCGGGAGGCCTTTGTGTTTCGGGACAGTGACAGGGCACGGACTCACCACTGGTTCAGGCAGATCAGGAGGTATTCGAGAGAGCTGGGCTCTTGGAAGAAGCGCCGTAATGCTCTGCCCAACATCATGATAAGCACATCCCATAGCCGGCCTTGAAAGCTTGGGAAAGACTCACGTTGGGAAGGACTTGGCTAAGCCAGCCAGACCTGCACAGAAACATTGCCAGGCCAAGTAACCTCTAGTGCAACTCCCTCAAAGTCAGCGGAGTTAAACTAGGGGCGAGTTTGGTCCAACAAGGCCGATCATTTGCAAACAGGCTGGGAACCAGATGTTACAGCCTCACCTTGGAGTCCAGCAAGACTGACTAGCGGCCTAATTGAGACCGACTTGCTTATGAGGAACAGGCTCCTTGCGAAGATCAGTTCTCTGGAAAGAAGCATAACTTGTTAACAGCACATGAAAGGAAAAGTTGTAGTACACGTTGCATGATGACGCTGAAGAACTGCCCTGGACAACGTGAGAGGTTTCCGATGTTGCACATATTTCATCAGCGTTAAGTAAAAAGCCAGGTTCAGTATTACTGAATAAGAGAGGAAGTTTGGACACGATCATGACCTCATTTGACTGGTTCCCAGCCTCTCTAGCACAAATTCTGTTTCATAGTTGATACCTCTACGGCCAATGAAAGATTTATTGTTAAAGAAATAAATAATTTTTTTTCATCTCTAACCCCAACCAAGTAGATGCAAAATCTCATGCATGTGAAAAAACAAAAAGGGTGGACAAAAAAAAATACACAAAGAGACCAATCTCTCTTACACACATGCACACTCTCCAAAGTACCTATAGGACCCTGAAAAAAAGAGCAATATCCCTTTATTAAAACCATCAGATTTTTAAGTGACCTCTTTAGAGACATCATTTCAGACGGGTGGAAAATAAAGTGTCACCCGAAATGTTTCAGGACTGTGGGTATGTAAATAAGGCCCCGCTACCACTTCTGGTGAACTTAGATGTCTGTGATTATTTAAAATGATGTAATCTAGTGTATCTCAGAATTTAAAAGGGAACACTTTACATTGTACTGTAGATCAACAACATAAAGTGGTTTAATACTTACCCTCTGATGACTCTAGATCAGTGTTCTGCTTACATTTTGGGTCCGTTTCGTTTTCTAGAGGTAATGTTTCGCTGGTCACGGGACGAATTTAGATGAGTGGGGAAATGTGCATCTCTCTTTGGCCTCACCTGAGAAAAATTCAAGTGCTTCCAACTGAGGCGGCAGGAAATTTCTCCTAGCACGGCTGTCCCATTTCTGGCCTCAACAGTCGTGTTACACTTACTGTTACCGGACAGCTTTAGATCAGCGTAAACCTTTCCACTGCATATCGGTTCTGAACGTGTTCCTTAATCTCATGCAAATTGTCTAGCTCACGAGCTGAGAGAGCAGAAGTAATAGCTGTCAGGAAAAAAAGAGAGGGAGAAAAGGGGGCACACAACAGGAAATACCTCTACTTCAATTGGCATCAACAGCACATAGGTTGCTCTAACTTAGACACTGGTTAGCGAAAGTGTAAGTAGGCTGAATGGTGCCAAGAGATTTTAACTTGTAGCACCTTCTGCGCGTGGTCTCACGTGTGCAGAGTCAGCAAGGTAAATCAGCGCACCGACACGCTGTGACGGTCAGGGTGCAGACACACGACATCAAGCGTGCCTGGACTGTGGTTCAATGCGTCTCCGACTGCAACCCCGAGAGGGCTTCTCCCTAGAAGACAGGTTGAGGTCAGAGCTGCTCCACACTAGGTTGTGCCCAGAGGTGAATCCCACCAAGAAGGTCTGCACACAAGTACACGCTTGTGTAGTCCTCCTTTGACAGATGATGTCACTGGAGATGTGTATTAAGGCAGTCCTGCAGAGTTGTAAGTGCAGCCTTCGGTCTGCCAAAGCCTGGCCTTTCTGGAGCTGAACAACCGTGCAGAACCCAGAGATTGCTCCATCAGACTGTTTGCTACGGCTGCTGAGACGTTACCTTCCATCCTGGCGACTGATCTAGACAACAGCCTGCAGGTCGGTATTTTTGGCCGACTCGCACTGCTTTGCATTGTTTGTGCATTTCAAGAACTGTTTTCACGGTCGTGTGCGTCTGTAGGAGGGGCAATTGTCTGAGTCATTATAAACACATGCCAGGGATGGATGGATCATAGAAAATGAGGGTGGGAGGGGACCTCAGGAGGTCACATCTAGTGCAGCCCCCTGCTCAAAGCAGGACCAGCCCCAGCTACATCATCCCAGCCAAGGCTTGGTCTAGCCAGGTCTTCAAAACCTCCAAGCATAGAGATTGCACTGCCTCTCTGGGTAACCTGTTCCAGTGCTTTACTACCCTCCTTGTGAAAAAGTTTTTCCTAATTTCTAACCTAAACTTCCCTTGCTGCCCCTTGAGCCCATTGCCCCTTTTTCCCTTGCTGCCCCTTGAGCCCATTGCCCCTTTTTCCCTTGCTGCCCCTTGAGCCCATTGCCACGTTGGCTTCACCTGCCACCACTGAGAACAGTCCAGCCACATCCTCTCTGGATATTTTGGGTCACAAACTGCCTTTAGCCATTGCTCTTCTGTTGTGGCACCAGCAGAACTCTGTAGCATCCCCTATAAAGCAAATCCATTTTCTCTATTATTTCCCCGACCCTGGTATTAGTTTTTTCTTACTGTTGTTACTAGTTTCATGTTGTTTTAAAAGGTAGGACTGTTGTGGACACCCCTATCAAACCACAGTAGCGCAGGTCATGTTATAGCAACCAGACTTGCCCTTTCAGCTGCTAGGAACAGACTTCGGTAGTTTCTCCAGGGAGGAAGCTCATTAAAGAGGGATCTGAACATTGCACCAGATGCTTCCCACTTCAGCTACCCGACTTGTATTCAGAAGCTGAGCTGGGTCTCCGCATTAAGATCAGGGCGAGCAGCCGGAAGTAGCTCTTAATAACATCCAACGCTTGCAAATTGGACGTTTAGCTCCTGCTCACTGCGCATTCTGCAGTCAATTTAGCGTGGGTTTGAGGTGGTCGAACATGCAGTTTGTTCAGGGCAGGACCATGATTTTCACCACTTCCAAGGATTCATTCGAAATTCAAGTCATTAGCATAGTCTCCTCCGTGGCCAAGGTTTCGGCAGATAGTACTGAAGTCATTTGAGATGCTTCAGTTCCTGTGTCATTTGTGCACGCACTTCTTCATCTAAGGGCTAGAAGTTTGTCCTGTATCCTGTCCCTGCAAGCGGCAATGGTACCTGTATGAGTGCCCTTGGAGATGCCCATGCATCCTTCTTCTCTAAGTATATTTATAGTAGCCACAAGTTCCAAGACAACGCTGCAATATGAAGACGACCTGGATAATAAAACTGCATAGAGTTGGAGACCCCCATTCTCAAACACCATCCTTAAAAATCTTTTCCGATCTCATTTTACCGGGGGGACCGACTGCATCTCGCTTCGACAGCTGGAAAGCTGCAGGGAGCCAACAGAATTGTGGCTGAGGACGTCTATTATAGTACCAACATGATAGATACCTGGCAAAGTGCCCTGGACTCCTCTTCTGTGGTAGCCTGATCCTTTCAATTAGGCTGAAACTACCCCTGCTGTTTAAAGGGCATTTAAGCAATAATTTATATGCTCCTAAAAGCATGGAGTAAATGTCAGATGCATTGCTAGGTGAGGTTTTGGGTTGTTTTTTTAAATCAATTGGCAGTCGCAGCCCAATAGACGTTTGTTAAAGATTTTTTTTCCCCTCAAATATGAAACACAGCAGCCCAATCTGAGCAGAGACCGACTAATCTCCTTCCTTTAAGGAGACAGCAATAGGAGGGCAGCAGGTCCACTTTCCCTCCAGTAAAGGAAATCGGTAGACTGCTCCCTCACTTGGTTACCCCTACTGGCAGCCTTCCTACAAGATGATGGGAGTTAGGGACCTCAGCAGCTCCAGGCTGCTGTCAGGTGGTGTTCAGGGCTGAAAAAAGCTACACAGTCTGGAAGGCTTCAGCTTCTGTCTCTGATGTGATGATTTTTCTCCATAACGATCTGCAGTCAAAGCTAAGATGTGGCTTTTTGAATAACCGAGCATCTTTGAATTCCTTTCTGTTAGGAGGGGCTATTGTCAGAAGAGCCAGTCACTTTAAATAGGAAACGCCTTGCAGAACAATTTGCATTGATATCTGCCAGGTGTGCCACATTACGGAGATTTGAGTTTCATGGGAGGAGTCCTGTCTGATCCTTGTAAAAGAAGCATTTCTCTTCTAAATAAGACAGAGCCTGTCCTCAATATCATATCGTGGGATTGCTTTTTGGGTAGAAACAATAGCGTTAATGCTCTCCAAGTTATGCAGGGACACTTTTTCCTAAAAAAAAAAAAATAGTCAGTCATGGAGCATGGCAAGTCTTTTGACAGCCAGCTACGTTAACTACAGGAACCAACAAATGACAAGGTTGACAGGCTCATGTTTTGAATTTAAGTTTAATGTGTATGTGCTCAGCTGCTTGCCAGCTTTTAACTTATAGGTGTTGAAAAGGAGCCTGTGTAGGGATTAATCTCTGCAGTGTCAAACCTCTTCGTTTTAGGGAAACTTCATATGGTGCAAAGAAGACGAGCTATGAGCAAGGCAGCAGATTTCTAGTCTCAGGAGATGCATTGTAAACGCTACCTTTTGAATCTAGATTATCCATGTAATGAAACATGGATAATAAAAAAAGAAGGTTAGATAAGGTGAGGTCAGTCTCACCTCCATCCTTGGCAAAGTCTTTGAAAAAATTATCAAGGCTCACATTTGCGAGAGCCCGGCAGGAGAAATTATGCTGAGGGGAAACCAGCACGGGTTCGTGGCAGGCAGATCGTGCCTGACCAATCTAGTTTCTTTTTATGACCAGGTTACGAAACGCCTGGACACAGGAGGAGGGGTGGATGTCGTATACTTAGACTTCAGGAAGGCCTTCGATACGGTATCCCACCCCATACTGGTGAACAAGTTAAGAGGCTGTGACTTGGATGACTACACAGTCCGGTGGGTGGCGAATTGGCTGGAGGGTCACACCCAGAGAGTTGTGGTGGATGGGTCGGCTTC